AACTGGGTAACTGAACTTCAAGTAAGTTATTCAATATAAAAGACTCTTGGGAGTTTACAAATTTGGGGTGAAAACTACCAAAACATTTAACGAATTTACCCTTCTTTCTCCTACTTCTCCTCCACCCCCATCCTTCAGTTATTTTGTATTGGCTGAAAACAGTAGAAGCTCATGACTATATGACTTCATTACTTTTACAGAATACACGATAGTATACTTACTATAAATAATTCACACCATACTACACTTGTCAAAAGGAATGAACGAAGTATATATCATGGCACAGGAGCCTTGATTTTTATTGTTTTTGCTCACTTACTCACTAATTTTCTAACTCCAGCTCCCTGTCACTGTGAATTAGAGAGACTCTGCTGTATACAAATATTGTATTCTGGGTAATTAGATATTGGGATAGGAGCCTCTGTAAATTACTTTAACCGGTGTCAGTACTGAAGCAAATAAGAAGTTTTTAGTTCTGTTTCTAGTTTGGGTTATTTTCTGACCCTAAACAGCCTGACATAAAGGAGTGCTTTTCTTTGTCAAAGGCAGTCTTTTCAAATATAACTGCCAGACACACTATCGAGCTGTGTGTTCAATTCTAATTGGCTGAGATCTTTTCAATTCGGCAGTTTCATCTTTAATGCAATGGATGTAAGATTATGTGGAGGTCTTTTCAATGGGTTTTCCATACTGGTGATTAGGGTGGAGGATTTGAACATAAGCAGGCTGCTGGCTATTTCTTCTCACCAATTTAAATTGATTCACAGACATCCTTTGTACCCCAGGGAAAGGGCAGCACAAATCCAAGAGAGTGAGACAGCTACCACTACACTTTCAGATGAAATAGTAAAAACGAAGTGGGGTGGGGGGACTGGGGAGGGGAAACGCTGCAAATGCTGTAAAATTGGAGCTCTAGGCAGTCTAGCAGAGACATACTGAAATTTAACTGATAAAATTCTATATAGATCAAGATTATCAAGAAAATGATTTCCAGCTTGGACTTTGACTTCTTTAGGTTAAAACCATTATGTAAAGAGAGAGCAGTCTTCTCTGATTTCACTGGAAACCTTGGTGAGCAAAAAGTTGTTGTTATTTGTTTTGTTTTAAAGCATTTCCCCAAGAGAGTAGACAACTCTGCCTAAGCCGCACAGTACGTCTGCGTGTGTTACATCAGGATAGCTGAGAAGGGTCAGTTAAAATGTAGTTTGGATCAGGCGCAAAATTTGGTTCAGAACCATGGTCAAAGGAAGACAAAGTGCTCTTGAGAAAGATTACCCTCTACCCCGAAGACAGACTCAGACGAACAACTCAAACTGGGCACATCCCGATCTGGTCTTGGTCGAACACATGGGTCCTGGTTTTCAGGTTCCCCTCAGGTTTATCTCTGTAGGGAGAGGATAAAGTTCCTGGTGAAGCTAAGGACATCCTTACACTAACTCTATTCTAACAAGAGGGAACTCCAAGTGAAGTTTTTTTGATATAGTTTCTCAACTCCCTCTCCAAATTGCTCAATAGAACTCTTGCATACCGTATCCATGCATTTGGTGATTTCTTCTCTGAGGAAGAAAGGGAAACATTTCTTTACTCAGAACAGCGACTGTGCACTGTTGGCACTATTGTAACAAGGCCATTTCTATCCTCCCTGAACACATGAAAACAATGCAGCATTCCTCTAGCAAGGGAAAAGAGCAGCAATTTCATTTTGTTGGTGTGACTTGCTTTGCCCCAGAACATATGCAAAACATCCATCTGTCTCCTGGGTGCTAACATTCAATTTGTTAAAATTCATAGTAATAATGAAATGCAACACTGATGCCTAGCACATTAGTTGAGCAAATAAGGGTGACAAATGTGGCATATGTTGCAGAGACCAGTGGGCAAGACCTCTAAGCTAAAAGATTCTTCTTGTTGTCATTTAGGAAATCCTAGGAGCTTACACAATGATTCATTGTTTCATAAAGGATAAAATTCCACAAAATAAAAAGAAATAACAACAACAAAAAGAGTTTTCAACTATCACTCTCAATCAGCTAACTACTAACAAAGCCACCCTCGTGAATGTTAGCTGCAGAAGCTGTTCCTGAGCTGCCTTCCGGAAGACTGATGCTTTAGAAACTCTTGCTTTGAAACTCCAATTTCTTGAGTGATGCTGTCTCAGAATCACCTGAATAAATGCCATGTGTTGATAAGTAGAACTCCGAAGTCCTCCTGAGGCTTTAGGATAGACAAGATTTGATAATTAGATATAGAGCAACCTGTTTTATAATGTAAATGAAGAACACTTTTTTACCTTACAAAAGTGAATCCACATGTTTTTACAAAGGTATGTCCATGAATGCTAATATTAGCACTATTCTTAATAGCTCTAAATTGAAAACTATTCAATTGTCTATGAATAGTATACTTAATAAATAAATTGTGGCATCCTCACAAAACACTACGTAAAAATTAAACCATCTACATCTACCTGTAAAAATGTGGCTGAATCTCATAAATACTTGGACAAATGCAATGAACTCCTATACATACCACAGCAATCAGATACTGGAAAGCACAGCAAGAAGAAAAACTAACGTATGCCGCAAGAAGCTAGGGGTTCCCCTCTTGTGGTCTTTGTAAGAGAAAATAAGTGAAGCATCTGTACACCAGCAATGTTGAGTTTCTTCATCTGGAAGCCGAGGGTGTTCATTTTGTGAAAATCCATTGAATTGTACCCTGATAATATTGCAGATGTGAGTTCAAGTAAAGAAAAAGGACCATGAAATTTAAAAAGGCTTTTATCTAATTATGTTCACTTGTCTCTCTTAACATCTTTTAGAACTTGGTTTGGGGAAGGAAACCCGTGGGAGCCGTCTCTTCGTTTTGTGTCTTGACTGAAGTTTACCCTCCACAGAGACCTTTCTTATCCAAAACAAGGAAAGTCAAAACCTTTGCTCTCAGGCACAGTGTGTTTGAGAGTGAATTCCTACAACACCCCCAGCCACACCGGAAGGGGTAGTCTCAGCCCTGTTCTCAGGAACCTGTCTGGCTGTGCCTGTATTAGCAGCTGGGTGCCCTGGGCAGGAGGCATATCCCAACCATGGTGGTCCAAGAAGCCCAGACAGTCCTGTAAATTTTACTAACCTGCAATTCTTCATTATCTCCCTTTTCTCTATTGCCATAGCTGCCTGTGACAGTGATGATTGATTTTCCTGCTGCCAATCATGCTTTGAGAAGACTTTCTTTGTTTTCCTGGCTCACTAATTAGCCACATTCTCTGGAATTCCTTCTCTGGACTCCATTACCGCCTCATACTGGTGTTTTCCCTCATCCGCATGAGTTGTCTTTGTCTTATCTTTATCCTGTTGAAGACTTAATAAAGGGGTCTCTATAAAATCTATTTGGATTTGGGGTCTCTATAAAATCTAAAAGGGGGTCTCTATAAAATCTATTTGGGTTTGGGGTCTCTTTTCCTTTATACTCCTTGTCTGTATCCATACAACAGCTTCATGTTTCCACTCATCATGCCCAGCTTGCCCCTGACTTTCAAAGCCCACTTCACGCAGAAAACCTTTCAGACTAACTTGGAACATTGAGAAATCTTCCAGTTCACCACCTGAACCATTCCTTCTCAGTATACTTTTCTAGGATAAAGATTTTAAAGATTAAAAAATCCTTTAAATATAAAGGCTTAAAGATTAAAAATACTTCCTTATGTACTTTAAAAATTCCAAAAAAAAACCACACCCAATAATGTAAGCTTTAAATTTTAAACAAACCATTTCTTTAAAATCTGGCATATTTTATAGCATTTCTCCATGGTTTCAATAGCAATGTATATTCTTCCATGTAACATTAAAACATGATCTCTTTAAGAACACACATATGTGGGTTTATTTCACTGTTGAGACACAATATATATTAATGACAATCACATGATACCTATTTCTGTCTGTATTCTGTCACCTGCCCTGGTCTTTCTACTTTTTTCTCCCTTAAAATAAGTATTTTATTATCAGTCACCTTTACTTCAAAACTATTACTAGCACCTTTACTGTTACTGAAATAGCAATCACTGGATACTTATTGTGTGCCAGCCATTCTTCTGTGCAATTTGTACACATTATCTCATTAAATCTTTACAATCTTGTGAAGCAGAAGTTGTGAATATACTCATTTTTCAGATGAAGAGATTGAAGATTAGGGAGATTAAGTTACTTGCCCAAGGTCAAAGGCTGTATTCATGTCTTGATTTAAGCCCAGGTACTCTCACACCAGAACTTGAGTTTCTACTATTTGGCATTCAATTAAACACTAATTACTGGCTCTCATATTTTTCTAGAACAGATATCGTCAGGATAGTTAGGTCTGACTAATTTCCGTTTACTTCCTTGAATTTATTTTGTTTGTTTGTTAGTATTTTTCATTTGACCGTGCACCAAAATGGTCTTTTTTTTTTTTTTAAACCAAACTGCCATACACTCAATGCTGCCTCAAAGTGACCCTTTAGGTCAGAGTAGAATTGCCCCTGTGAGTCCCTGAGACGGCAACTCTTTACGGGAGTAGAAGACCCAATTTTTCTCCCAAGGAGCACCTGGTAGCTTTGAACTGCTGACCTTGCCACTTGCAGCCCAATGTGTAACCACTATACCACCAGGGCTTCCAAAATGGTCTTTATAAGAGAGAAAGTGTAGCTCAAACTCTACTGTAAGAAAAGCTAAGTGTTCTCTCATTATCAACTATCATTGTGTTGTCTCTTTAGCACCTAAAATTGAGATGGCCCATTCCAAGTCCAAAATAGAAATATAGAGAGTGCCTTCAACTCCTGTCCTACCAGGAGTGCCCTTCTCTGATGATGGTTTCTTGGATTCTTTGATCCAAGACCCCAGAGACTCACAAGCAATCTACCAAGGAAATAGGAGTATACAAATCATAGAAGCATAAGAATGATTGATGCATTGATGTAATCTATGCACACAGTTCAATGTATCACGACAGAGGGGCTATGATTAAAAATACACCTTTTTCGTAAGCCCACATCTAACAGGTCTGCTCATCTTTTTCACCACTAGACCTGCTGGGATCACTAGCTACCAGATTCATATCAGCTCCATTATCCAGTAAGACCTGAATCAGCGGATGTGACCGTGGTAACAAGCAGAATGTAGACCTACAATACAATGAAAGAATAAAAGAAGGACAAAGAGGAAAAATGAATTCCAATTTTCAAAGTACAGGCATGGCTACAGAATATTTTTGTTATCAGAGATATAAAGCGAGAACTAATTGCTTAGAAAAAGAAATAATTATATGATTTAGTGAATAGGATAATTTTCTTTCTGTTTATTAAAATATTATTTTCAGAATTGCACAAGTAATATGTGAATGTACATTCACTGTAAAAATATTTTAGCACTAGAAGAACATATAAAATAAAATTCTCACTTCATATAGCCTGGACCCTCTGCCCCTAAATAGGATAATATTTTAAGCAAAATAAGTAATCTACACAGACCAATCCTCTAAATAGACACTCATTTACATCAGTAAAAATTCTAGTATTTTTATATCCACAGTTAATATCAAGAGCAAATATTAGGACATCTACACAAGTAAAAGAACAAAAACTCCATACAAATATTTTCCTAAAGGATAGGTCAGTTTAATCAGTGTCCCTGGTGTGACTATAAAAGTAGTCAATTGATACTGATAATTTAAACCACTAATAAAAATGAATAAAAGTCATTCTGTTTTTTTTATTATAACTATTAGAATATTGAGTTATTAGATGGAAAAGCAAGGATGTTACTTTGAGGACTAAGGCATGCCTGATCCCAGCCTCATGTGCATATGACAGTTGGACATTGAATAATGAAGACCGAAGAAGAATTGATGTATTTGAATTGTGGTGCTGGTGAAGACTCTTTGCATTTAGTTTAATTATTCCTAAAATAAATGATTAAGGGTTCATGAGGGAGAGGGGAGTAGGGAGGGAGAGGGAGGGGAAAAAAGGAAAATGGGCTAATTCCAGGAACCCAAGAGGAAAGTGAATTTTGAGAATTATGAGGGCAACACATGTATAAG